GGACCCAAGAGAGCAGGGGGGCCAGAGTGAGCCAGGAGGGCTACAGTGAACTGGGGGGGAGGGGCAGATGAACAGGGGGGCCAGAATGAGGGTGGGGCCAAAGTTAACAGGAGGATCAGCGTGAGCAAGGTAACCAGCGTGAGTGGGGGACCAATGTAAGGAGGGGACCAGAGTGAATGAGGGGGAACCAGAGTGAGCAGGGGGGCCAGAGTTAACGTGGGCAAGGGAGCCAGAGTGGTGGGTCCGTGTGAGCCGGGGGGATCGCGTGTATGTGGCAGGGATCAGAGTGAGTGGGGGGACCAGAGAGAACAGGGGACAAGACTGAGTAGATGGGGCCCTACCCAGGTAGCTTAGTTCGTTAGAGCATCGTCCCAATAAACCACGGTTGTGGGTTCAATGCCCGGTCTGGGTACACATAAGAATCAACCAATGAGTTGGTAGAGAAAATCGGTAAATCCAACCAATGAGTTGGTAGAAAATCGGTAAATCCATCCACCGATTTTTGGAATGTCTCTAGCTGGGTACATTTTTTCTTCTCTTCATGTAGTTACAGAGGTACCTAGTTTATAGCTGGTATATGGTGCGCTGCTTGCTGGAAAGTTTAGTTTGGGCTCAGTTTGCTGGGGGTTGGATGAAGAGTGCTAAAACTACCTTTCTCATAAAACACTAGCCGGTGTTCAGTGGTTAGATCGTTGGCCTGAAGACTGAAGGGTCGCTGGTTCAATTCTGGTCAAGGGCACGTATCTCAGGATTTTAGGCTTGATCCCCAGCCAGGAAGCAACCAATTAATCTCTCTCTCTCTCTCTCTGTATCTCCCCCTCCCTTCCACTCTCTCTAAAAATCATTGAAAAAAATATACTCAGGTGAGGAATGACAAAAAAAAGAACAACTCACAAAACACTGTGGCATCGACAGGCAAAGGCAGATAAGGGGGAGGAAGGAACCGTCACTCTCGTACTTCAGAGAAGTGTGCTGCACCAAGCACATGGGAAAATGTCATTCTTCAGGGGGGAGGTGTGTTAGCAGGTGGATTCATTCTTGCCGGGTATTCATTCCTTCATGTACGCATCTGACAGGTATTTTTCGATTGCCTACTGTGTACGTATTACTGTACCCTACGATCCCAGATTTCATACTCAACAAGTTCTGGATTCAAATATTAATAAAATAGACTTTCTCCTCTTAAATAAAAAAGAATCAACTAATGAGTACATAAATAAGTAGAATAACAAACCAATGTTTCTCTAAAATAAATTTTGAAAAAAGTGAGCAGTGAGAATGGGGGAAACCATGTAAGGAGGGGACCAGAATGAGTATGGGGGGACAGGACGAGAGTGAATGGGTAGGGGGATGTCCAGCGTGAGCGTTGGGGGCCTTTGGTGGATCAGAGTGAATGTTGGATGACCCAAGTGAGGGTGGGAC